CTTATGGTTCGATGATATTTTTCAATCTTCTATCATGAAGCAACCGTGTTCTACTACAAATTCTGTGCAAGTTGATTATGATTTTCATATAAGGGCTAGAAAGCATGAAAGAAAGGTCATAATTATCAATGAAGGAGCTGGAGATTCAATTGCCTTGCTAGGTAACTGAAAACCATTCTTTCTAAAGTGAGTGTACACGTTCCATCAGGCATATATTACATATTGTTTGAGCATCGATATAATTAAATTTATTATAACCCATCCGCTTAAACTTTTAGGTTGATTGATGATTTAACATGATATCAAAGTAGAATGTCTTGAGTTTGTAACCTTGTAATGTCATTTCCTTTCCAACTAATATTGTTTACTTACCCGGTCTTCTACAATGTTTTAAGCCCACAAATGAGGGAGAGTGTTGGAGTGTTTAACATAATTAAATTTAGCATAATCAATCAGTTTAAGATTTTGAGTTAATCGATGAATTAACACCTATTTACTTTTGACCCTCAGCATGAGGGATTGTTTTACATTTTTAGTTTTGGTCCTGAAATGAATTTCCGTAACATTGGCGTGGATATGAAATTCGAATCTAGACTTTGTGGCAGCCATTTAAACATTATGGGGAAGCATTTTTGTTTGTCGTTTTCCAGGATTTGTGTTTACATGCTGCAGTTATATTTGAATATTGCTTGTTGGCAAACCTTGACTTGCAGACTTGATATGGATAAAACAAAATCTTGCATGAAAATATGCCTTCCAGTTTGACTAACTCGGTGCAATGATGTAGTTCTATGGTTAGTATGTACGAGAATGGCTTGATCAGATACTCAGGCATAAATATGAACGTTGGTGGGAAGATTAAATAAAGTTTTTGAACTCTATTCTATTCTGTTTCACCTGAAAGTTAGAGGGCTAAAGAAAATCCAAAGAACTTGTGTTTTGAAAGTTCCTTAAATCACAATTCTGGAAAGCTGTAAACTTCCTCAAGATTATTTTTACTTCCATCTTTATTTAGCATGTTTTTATTTTTCGCTAAGGAAGCAATGTGCTTATCATAATGTATACACAATTACTTATCTAGACCAAGTCTTTATTTGTTCGTATTTCTTTTCAGGCATTCTTTCCTTGCTAAAAGTTCACGCTTTTGTAGGTTTAATTCGATTGGTGAACTACCTTTCTCAGGATCATTTACTTGGGAAACAGAGGGCTATTAAGTTCGTCGTTGATGCTGGTACTGGGACGACTGCTATTGGTTTGGGTCTTGGAGCTCTATGTTTAGAGTGTGTACACTGATCTGTCTGGTGAAATCCATCTGGGAATTGCATTAGTTTCTAACTTTTACTAATTTTCATTGAAACACTCTTTTTTTGTCATTCCTGCTAGGCTCCCGTGGGAGGTAACAGCAGTGATGCTGGCTGATAGAATTGATGGGTATAAGCGGCAGGAGAAGCGTTTGATTTCTGAATTCAAGAAGCATTTTGGCTATCCTGTTGGCCTAGGCGAGGATGAAGTAAATGGCGGAATTGTAAATTGGGTAGAGCGTTTCCGTCCAAGAAAGTGAGTATTTCGTTCTAATCTTGACCTCTTCTACCGTAAATTATTTTTCTCCAGGCTTGCATTTATGGTGGTATTCAGAACTGGCTCGGTGAGTTAATAGACCTGCAAAGATTACGTTTAAATCATATTCATTTTAGCAAAAACTAGAGGTTTCCAAACATAATAATATCGTAGTAATTGAATTAGGCTGCGTCTGTGTTATATTCTCTATCCCATCTTGTAGATTTGGCAATGTGCTGGTTGGTGAAGTGGAGACGTGCAAACAAATTGCTCAGGAAACCGGTATTCTTGTTGACCCTATTTACACTCTAGCTGCTTGGGAAATGGCTACTTTTCTTTCTCAAAAGGGAGCCAAAGTGAAAGCAGATGTGGTGATGCTTCACACTGGTGGTACCCTAGGCATGTTTGGAATAGCTCAAAGGTATAAATCTTACTTTAACAACCTCAAAAATGTTTAACAATTGTAGAATAGCAAGTCAGGTTTTATAAAAGCAATCGAGTTCTATCCCTTAACCTCCGCAATCTGTTTGATAATATGTATGGCATGAGTGCACCCTGGCAAGTTAATAAAATGATAAATTAGTATGCATACGTGTGCATATATATTTGACCAATTATATGTTTTAATCCTTCATGCTATTATGATGTCTAAAAAGTTTCACGGAGTGTTATGTCACTTGAGCTTTATCATCATCCACATTTAGGAAGTCAAATGCACATTTGGCCTACATTCTTTGGAGTTGCCTTTAGCTAGTTTTTTGTCGGAAGTTTTTTGTCGGAGGGCTGGTGTGAGATCCCACATCAGTTGGGAACAAAATATTTTTTTATAAGGGTATGAAAACCTCTCCCTAGATGTGGTTGTTGCCTGACCTTGCCGCAAAATCTATCTGGATTCTCTGGCTGTAGGATGGACCGGGGTACAGTCTGACACCGGTTCTCAGAGCGAGTCAAGCCAGTGTTCGTTAAAGTCCCTTAGTGGCGCGCTGGCACGTATCTGGGAGTAACCCTCTGCAGAAGGGGTGACAGGATGGGGCAAGAAGACCCAAATCTAAATATTTTAGGGAAGAGATTTAGATTTTTTAGGAGTAGATTGCGTAAGCTTATAAATACCCCCACCCTACCTAGGTTTTCATCTCAAGAAATACAAAATAGTAGTATTTTACAAAGTGTCTTGTAATCTCTTCTCAATTGGTGGTAATAAAGAGTGGGAGTGTTTCTCACGGAGAGTTGTATTCAACAAGGGAGTCATGGTTAAAGAATGGAGTGTAGTGACGGTCATGTCTTGAAAATTCATCTCAACGTAAAATGTGCTTTGTGAACACTAAAATGCCTCCCTCCCTTCCTTACTTGTCTAAGTTATAAAGTCTCAAAAGATAAACCAATTGTTGATACTAGTTTACAAAAGTACCTTTTCCTAGAGGGGTGTGTCATTGGGCAGGGAAATAGTTGTAGCAGTGGTGGGTAACTGAAATGATAAGGTCCCTCCCCGGATGTTGTGGCTTAAATAACGTTAACGGATTTAGAGGTTCCTCCGAAGGGCATCCTATTAGGAGAGGTTCGTCTCTGATACCATCCGTAACGGATTTAAAATCCTAGATCAAGGGCGTTAGAGATAGTCTTAGCATATCTAAATCATGTAGCCTTAAAATATCTGCACAAGTGCATTTGATCACATTGCTGTATTGATCAATCATCTTCATTAACCCAAGTCTATGATAATAAATGACGTTGATCTTAAGCTTTCAAACTGTCCAACCATATAATGTTGATGGAGAGGAGCCCATCATGAGGTCCTGTATGCATGTGATGGAAATACACACAACAAGGCGGGTATTATTTGTATTATTTGTGCAACAGCTCAAGCCTATTGCTAGTAGGTATTGTTCTCTTTAGGTTTTTCCTTTCGGACTTCTACTCAAAGATTTTAAAATGCGTATGTTAGGGTGAAATTTTCACATCCTTATAAAGAATATTTCATTCTCTTCTCCAATAATGATGTGGATTAGATTTCACCATCCACCCTCTTTAGAGTCCAACATCCTCTCTAGCACTCGTTCCTCTCTCCAATCGATGTGGGATCTCTCAATTGATACCATTTGTAATAGCTCATACCCACCGCCAGCAAATATTGTCCTTTTTAAGCTTTCCCTTTCGGGCTCCGTTCAAGATTTTTAAAATGCTAGGAAGATGTTTTCATCCTTTATAAAAAAAATGCTCTATTCCTCACTCCAACCTAGAGATCTCACAATTTCGTTTCCTTCTCCGTCACTTCTCAATCACGTTTTGTCTTCCCAACGAAAAAAGCTAACACTTTTTTCCCTCTACCAACAGCCGACACTGCATTTTCTTGAAGACTGATGAACAGTTGGGAGAAAAATCTTGAAACTGGACCAAAAAACAATTCCTTTCAAACCACAATCAGTCATTGTTTAATGGCCTGCTGCCTGTGCTACAGCAAGGACCCTCGAGTATTAAATGCAGCCAAACTCTGGTTTGAACTACACAATTTCGAAGGGAATCAATCTATACGGAGATATGCATGGAGATGATGATAAAAGCTTTATTAATTATATGAAATGAAATGTGATTATCCTATGGAGTCCCCATTGTCATTAATAAGCAATTTGCTTACATACATCACGTTTTTTATTTCCAACTTTGTCGAAACAAAAAATTTATGGATCTTGGCCCCATGAAGTGAATCCGTTGGAAAGAACTAGTAGATCAACCTTTAATGAGAAGAATTTTTATTTAGATAGGAAATGGGTAGCCATTGGCTAAACAGGAGCGTGGACAAGAGTTATTCCTTTTTCCTGTTTGATTCAAAGTATTCAAAATGAAGATATAATTGAGAATAGTTGAGATATGATTCAAATATTCAAACTACCAAGATTTTAAGAGATTTTATGAGATTGTTAGTAGATTTGAATTTATCTAGATTTCCATCATTTACTATTTCTAATCCAGTCTATAAGGTTATAAATACTTGAATTATGTAACCCTCTATGCATTGAGTCAGAAAACAATAAAGCATGGCAGCTTTGATTATTTTATCTATTCGTATCTCTTTCACTATCCCTTTTTCCAAGGAAAAAGGGATAGTGAAAGAGATAAGAATAGATATAATAGATGAATGCTGTATGCTTTATTATTGTCATATCTCAACTACTTAGAGGGTTACACAATTCCCGTATTTATAGCTTATACACTGGACTAGAAATAGTAAATCATCAAAATCTAGAAAAATTCAAATATACTAACAATCTCCTAAAATCTTGGTAGTGTGAATATTTGAATCATATCTTTTTGAATACTTTGAATCATATCTCAACACTCCCCCTTGATTTAAAGTTGCAGATGTAAGTACAAAGCTTTTCTTTTGATAAGGCCTTCGTAAATATGTCTGCTTTAACCCGTACAATGTCTGTCTCAGCTTATATGAATCATATCTCAACACTCCCCTTTGATTTAAAGTTGCAGATGTCAAGTACAGAGCTCTTCTTTTGACAAGACCTTCGTAAATATGTCTGCTTTAACCCGTACAATGTCTGTCTCAGCTTGTATACCTTTGTTTCTTTGTCTTTCTTTATGAATCCCTCTGGCGGTGTTACATAAACCTCTTCTTGTAAATCTCCATAAAACTTTTTGTTTGGTAGGTCAACCATATCCCATGTTCCATCTTTCTTAACGGACTGCATCTCTACTGCCATGCCTTTCTTCCCGTCTTCTTTTTCAGTTGCTTCTTCATAATTCATAGGGTCTGAAAGAGTAAGAGCAAATTGACATGATGCATATATGTCAGCTAAACATTTATACTTCCTTGGAGGTGTTTCATCTGAAAGTTCTTCAAGAGAAGAATTGCTGTTTAGTGATGCTAAAGATGATGAATTTGACACACTCTGCGTGGCAGTGGAGGCACTAGGAGATGCACTGGAGTTTACCCTTGTCTCTTCATTTGGAGAAACTTCAACTGTAATTTTTTGCTGCTCTTGTTCTTTACTCCAATCCCAACTCACATTTTCATTAAATATTACATCCCTTCTAACTAAAATCTTTTCACTGATGGGGTTGTATATGCCTTTTATTGAGTACAATAGCCAATGAAAATGCATTTTTCAGATTTTTCATCAAGCTTTTGATGAATTTGAGGATGTTTCAAAAACATAAGCAACACAACCAAAGATTCGTAAATGACTTACAGATGGTTTCCTTCCATGCCTTGCTTCATAAGGAGTTCAATTCATAACCGCCTTTGTTGGTGAGATGTTTAATAGATAAATAGATGTTGTTAGGGCTTCTGTCCAAAATTAGTTTGGAAGTCTTTTTGCTTGTAACATACTTTCTTGCCATCTCCACAATAGTTCGATTTTTTCGTTCAGCAATTCCATTTTGTTCTGGAGTGTAGGGAGCTGTTAATTCCCTTTGGATGCCATCGTCTTCACAAAACAGATTGATCTTTAGATATGAACTCGCCACCTCTGTCTGTTCGAAGAACTTTAATGTGACAGCCACTTTGGTTCTCTACCGTAGCTTTAAAAGTCTGGAACTTCTGAAAAGTTTTTGACTTATGTGGTAGGAAGTAAACCTAGCTCATGCGACTATAATCATCAATGAATAGTAAAAAATATATACTCCCACCCAAGGACTTCGTTTGCATTGACCCACATAAATCAGCATGAATTAGTTCTAGACAATGTGAAACTCTTCTAGCTTTTCCAATAGGAAAGGACTTCCTAGTCTGCTTGCCACAAATGCATCCTTCACATAAATTAGTTGAGTCAATTCTTGGTAATCTGAAAACCATACCTTTATTCCTGAGTATTTTCAGGCCGTTCATATGAAGATGTCCATATCTGAGATGTCATAATGTTGAGTCATCTTTCGTGCTAGTAGCAAGAGCAAAATCCTTCATGTTAGAAATATCAAGTGTAAACATCTTATTTGAAGTCATGACAATTTGAACTTTATGGCCTGATTTCTTATGTGTAATGACACATGTGTTGTCATCAAATAGAACTGAATGTCCTCCGGTCATCAATTGTCCAACACTCAATAAATTATATCCTAAATTAGGTACAAATTGAACATTATCTAATTGTTTTATCTTACCATGACTGATTTCGACTTTCACTGTACATTTTCCCTCAACTTGCATCTCTTTTGTGTTTCCAAGTTGCACCTTAATTTTTTGCGTCTCATCAAATTCTTTAAATAAAGATTTGGTGCCTGTCATATAGTTCGAGCATCCGCTATCAACAAACCATAAGTCATCCTTTTTTGGATTAGTATCCATGCACGCCATAAGCAGCTTTTCTTCTTCTTCTTCTTCATTATCTGCTGCAAAATTCATTCGTTGATTTTTATACCAACAATCAGATTTTGTGTGCCCATACTTTCTGCAATGGTAACATTGTATGACATTCCTTTGTTTATTGAATTGTCTCTGTCCATCACTTCTCCATCTACCCCTGTTATCACAATCACCATGGAAGCTGCGAAATCCTCCTCTTCTATGACTTCTACCTGCTAAATGAATATTTTCTCCTTTGTTGTTGTTGTCTCCTTCACCTATAGTGCCTTTTCTTCGTTCCTTTCTGATGCTCTATTGATTCTTGTCTCATGGGCCTGAAGCGAGCCCATCAATTCATCAACGGAGAGTATGGATAGATCCTTAGCTTCTTCTATGGCAGCCACCACATGGTCAAACTTTGGAGTCAAGCTTCTCAACACCTTTGCAACAATTGTTTCGTTTGAAATTTTCTCTTCATAAGTACGCATCTGACTGACTATTGTCATTGCTCTTGACAAAAATCAACAATTTATTCGCCATTCGTCATGAGTAGAGTTTCGAAATCACGTCTTACAGATTGCAATTTCACTGTCATGACCTTTGAATCTCCTATAAACTCCTACTGTAGAATTGACTATGCCTGCTTTGATGTGGTTGATGCTGCAATTCGTGAGAAGCTAGTCTCATGAATTGCTTGCTGAATAATGAATAAAGCCTTGGCATCGTTTTTCTTGGTTTCTCTTAGTCTCTCATTTTTTTACATTGTGGGTTCTAATACATCAACAAACCTATCCTCCACCGTCCCATAGCTCCTGCGATTTGAGCAAGGTCTTCATCTTGATGCTCCACCACTCATATTTCTCACCATTAAAGATCGGTAACAACGGTGCAAAGGAAGAAAAGTCAGCTATTGCCATTTTTGTTTTGTGAAAGAAAATAATCACTCGCCCTCGTGTCGAACGAACTTGGCTCGGATACCAAAATTGTTGGAAAAAGAAATAGTGAAAGAGATAAGAATAGATAGAATAGATGAATGCTGCAGTGCTTTATTATTATCTACTGACTTAATGCTTAAAGGGTTACACAATTCCTATACACTGTACCAAAAATAATAAATCATCGAAATCTAGAAAAATTCAAATCTACTAACAATCTCCAAAAATCTCTTAAAATCTGGGTAGTTTGAATATTTGAATCATATCTCAACTACTCTGAATCATATCTTTTTTGAATACTTTGAATCATATCTCAACATTCCCAACGCCCATCCAAGCCCAATGATATGAATCCGTTAGAAAGAACTAGTAGATCAACTTTCAACGGGAGAGAGTCTCTATTTAGATCGGAAATGAAGAGCCATTGGCTAAACAGAAGCGAGGACAAGGATTATCCCTTTTACCCATTCCCATTCTTGCGTGAAGTCCCCGAACCCAATTATTTATTTGTTTATTATTATTGTTCTTATTTTTCTTTTATTTACTTATATTGTTTTTAAAAAATTATTTTTTTAAATATTTATGTTTATTATTTTTTCTTAAATAATTTGTTTAAGAATAATTATTAACCTTCACGACTAAATAAATTTAAAATTTAAAATATTTATTAGTTAGAATAATTTTAATAGTTTGACTTAATAAAAATAAACTAAATAAAAACAATTAATTATCTAAGTAACTATGTGAATTAAAAAAATATTATTTGTTTGTATAAATTTTTTTATAACATTTCATTTCTTAATTTATTTATTTTAAATAAATTCAATTAATTAATTGATATAGTTTAAAATTTTATTAGAAATAAATTAATAATAATTTATTTAAATATATTTTTAATTTATTTTGACAAAAAAGTTATTAAATAAATGAATCGTTTATTTGTTAATTATCTAAAATTAAAAAATATAATAAAATTCTAATTCTTAAACCTAAAATAAAAATATTAAAAACTAATTTTTCTCTCTTACTAATATCATTATTTAACTTTTAAACATTTTTAAAAATAAAAATTTTAGTTTTTATTATTCATTTTTATATAATATCATTAACATTGAGAAACGTAAGTTGGTTGATGGACATTGTTAGACGAACACGACTCTCCACAATCGTATCATATTGTCCACTTTGAACATAAGCTTTTATAGTAAGCTCTCGTAGTTTTACTTTGGGCTTCCCAAAATGCCTTATACTAATGGAGAGAGTATTTTTTTTATCTGAGGTGTGACTTTCATCATTCAATAGACATTATTAATATTATATATATATATATATATATATATATATATATTTAAATATCGAGTTTGATGCTAATATAAAAATGATATTTTGAAAAGTGTTTAGATTTTTTTTTTTCTTTTTTTGTAAAATGATTTGCTGCAAGAGAATAAATAACTTTAACAAGTTGCATTTATTTAAAAAAAAATAATATTGCATTAAATGCAATATTTTATTATTTATAATGGATAAGTCAGCTAAGAATAGTAATCCACAAAAAGGATGAAAAGGTTAAAAAGGGGAAAAAGAAAATAATCCCATTGGTCAATATTAATATTAGGAAAGTAAATGTCACCCCTCAACATGATTATGAAATTAAAGAGATAAAAACAAATAAATAAAGAATAAAAAAAAGTCTCAAATTTAGTGGAAATTAATCCATAATTAAAACTTTAAATTAATCATAAAATTTAGTAGTAATTATATTTATTATAATTAAAAAAATAAATTTTATTCTAAAAATACCCATAAATTTATAGAAATTTTAAAAAGTTTTATTAATATCCTTTTTAAAAAATTAAAAATATTTTTATTGTTAATATTCTTAAAAAATAACTATAAAATTTTAAAGGTAGTATTAACCCCTTTAACCCATTTAAAAAAAAAATTAAAAAAAGTATTTATTGTTAATATACGGACGAAAAACCTTTTCTAAAAATAAAAAAAACCTTGAATTTTTAAAATTAATATTAAAAAGTTGAGAGAATTTACGAGATGTTAAACATTTTTTAATTCTTTTTAGACAGAGTAATAGATCCAGTGATATTTTTATTGATTTAGCCTATAAAAAAATTAAAAGTAATTTTGAAACAAATTGATATGAACCAAGAGACATCAATCATACAATATGCTTCAATGAAGATGAGAAGAAAATATTGTTGAAATTATCAAAAGATATTTCAATTCATGTCACATTGAAGAAGAATGAAGTTTCATGTTTTGAATTTAGGGTGGATTACCATTTAGAGTAATTTAGAGTTATTGTATTTCATTAATGTATTTTAAGACTTTTAATTTACTTTAGGTTACAATTACATGATCATGGTTAATTAAGGTCATTAAGAATGAATGTTACAACTCTTGGAATGCCTTTAGCAGTTTCATTTTGAGGCTATATAAAGCCATGTATGTTGTTTTTGTAAGAGACTTGGAAAATGTAGTAAAAGAAGTATTTGTGGTTTTCTTTAGCCAATGACTAAGTTTATTTGCAATTCTATGTAGTTTAGGTTGCATGTAGAATCATTCAAGCTCGACATGATCAATCTTGCTTGTGGAGTGATTCGAATCTCAGACAAGTGTTTTTGTCTTGAGATATTTGATCAACAAGAATCATTCAAGCTAGACGTGATCGAACCATGTTCTTGCCTTGAGATATTCGATCAACAAGATAATCTAAATTTTACTTCCTTTGTAGTGATTATATCTTATCACAAATTATTAATCACTATAATTTTTTTTTAATTTTAATTTTTAAAAAAGTTTAAGAATTTAAAATTAGAAATATTTTGTTAAGAAATTTAAATATATAATAATAACAATTATTATTATTATTTTTAATTTGGTGGTCCATTGGTGGTTTCCCGGCACTGCCATAGCCTCAAGGGGACCTCATAAACACCATAGAACAAACAAACAGATGATGTGAAGAGGAAGCTTCAAACAAAAATAAACTAAGTATTCCCATAGCCGCGTTTGAACAGCCTCCACTTGCCTTCTTCCTCACACTCCAAATGACCTATCTTGCCCTTCTCCACGTTCACTCTAACTCTCCGTTCGATAAAATAACGAAGGCTAAAATAGTAATTTCGCCGTCTCGAGTAACAACCCCTCACTCACTTTTTTTTGTAGCTCAAACACTCTTATAGTCATATAATGTTGCTTCATGGATTCTAAAACTAGATTGGATTGAACAGTACCTGGTACCTGTGAGATTCCACGTTGGTTAGGAAGGAGAACGAAACATTATTTATAAGAGTGTGGAAACACATTTTAAAAACCTTGAGGGGAAGTTTGAAAGGAAAAGTCGAAGGAAGACAATATTGGCTAGCTGTGAGCTTGAGCCGTTACCATATATCCCTACCCTGAGCTGTATGCTATCTAAGTCGTGGTACTTCTTTATTTGTTTATAGTCATATAATGTTGCTTTCTTAAATTTTTTAAGTCGTTTTCAAATGTATTTTCTCGCTCACGTTTTATAAACTGTTTCTCGACTCGATGCCTGAACATACGTTGTCGTTGTCCATAACGTCCAAATTTCTCACTGCTGACTTGTTTGCTTAGTTGGAATAAGTGTCACACAATTGCTGTCATGTTAGAGCAGGGGGGATTGTGACAATATTGACACGTGGCAGTCTCTTAATGGGCATCTTCCTATTCCGGATTCTCTATATATACCCTTCCCCAAGCAATCTCGCTGCCATTACCATTTCTTCATCTCCCTCTTCCCGCCGGCATGAGTGTCCGATCATGGCTAATCCCCTGTGCCACCGCCACTGCTACCGCCGCCGACTCCAATACGCCGCCTCAATCCTCCTCCTTCTCAATTTCCGATACGTCGGTAAACTCTTCGTCGTCGTCGACACCGACTTCCGACACTAGCTGCTCCACTCTCCAAAGCAATCTCTCCCTTCAATCCCAACCGTCCATTCCATCTCTCCAAACTCTCCCCACCGTCACCGATACCGGAAACGTCGCCGTTTCTCAACTTCACCTCGCCTCTTTCAAGCTCCCAATCTCCCATCTCGCCGTCCATGGTCCCCACCTCTATGTCGCCATCGCTCACGAAATCAACGTCTACGATCGATCCACCTACACCCACGTAGCCTCAATCAACGCTCGAGATTCCTCCTCCGGCGCCGTCAAGGGAATCGCCTTTCTCAACGCCCAAATCCTTACTTCTCATCAAGATGGAAAAATCCGCGTCTGGAATTTAACGAATAATCAATTCAAAAAGGTCAACACTCTCCCGACAGTCAACGATCGCCTCCGCCGCTTCATACTCCCGAAAAATTACGTCAACGTCCGCCGTCACAAGAAAGTCCTCTGGATTCAACACGCCGACGCCGTCACTGGACTCGCCGTCAACAGAAATTCGTTTTACTCTGTTTCTTGGGATCGGAGTTTGAAATTCTGGCAAGGCTCCGACCACCGCTGCGTCGAGTCCGTCAAGGCAGCGCACGAGGACGCCATAAACGCAGTGGTCGTCTCCGCCGCGGGGATTGTGTACACCGGATCGG